CTTCTGTTGCCTTGTAGTTTATTACAAAATAGAAATGCCTAAATTTACACATAAGTTTTTGGGGGCAAATCAAGGTAGAGATCATTAACCTTGTTGAATTTCTCATCTCAAAGACTTGGACAGCTGGCCAAATACTAGGGGGAGTTTAACTTAGTTTAGTTTAGGAAGTTTGGTTTAGATGGGAATGAACAAGGACTGTGTATAAGAAATTTGAACATCGTTATTAAAGCTTCCTCATATCCAGAGGTTAAGGCAAGATGAGTCAAGACACTGAGGGAACAGGGGCCGCACTGTAGAGAAAACTGAAAACCAAATTAACAAGAGAAGATGGAAAGGAGATGTGAATTCACATCTGTTTTCTTGGGACAATTGGGAAGGGAAGCATCTTCCCATTTGGAAAAATAAATGAATAGGCATGACTGATTACAAGATGTTGAAACTGCAGTCAATTTGTGATGCTGTGAGGAAATTGGTGTAAAGGTATGTGCAGTGCTAGTGCAAATCTGTTTTCAGTTGAAAGTCCGTATTTCTGCTTTTCTGATCAGGAACTTGTAAAGCTTAGCTGAGTAGAAAGGCAGGATGGCTTTCAGCATCTAGGAAAAGCAGTTAAACTAGAAGCCCACAGTCTGGAGAGTTACAGGTAATGCTGAGAGTGCCTTTATGTGATATTCTGCAGAGGCAGATGTATGAAAAAAAAAAATTGAAGTGGTGGCATAGTCCTCAAATGGAGTGTTTTTGGACTGCATCCCCCTCCCTTCTCAGTTTATCCCTGTTTCTATGGCTGTTGGGTAACCTAAGAACTTTTCTCGTAGATAAAGAAAACAGTATTTTTTTGAAGTCCTGGTTGAAACAGACCAAGATAGAACATGAAGCTTTACTGATGTGTTCATTTGATAGATGGTGGAGTAGGTAAATGACCTGGCTGTATCAGTGGGCAGCAGTAATTCTCTGCACACTGTAGCTGAAATGTACTCAAGAACAGTTTAAGCTGTATTTACATCTGCATAGTTTCATCCTGTCAGTTTAGTTATTCTTCTCTGAAACACTTTAAACAAATCTCTTAGTTATTGTTTTTATTTTCCAAATCCACTTAAACTTGCTCCATATTGTAGCCAGCTCTGGGCTTTCTGTAACTCTGTAATGCTACCTTTGGAACAAAATTGTACACTAAGATCCTAATTTCCATCCTTAAGAGGAAAGCAAAACCTGAAACAAATCTAGCTTACTAGATACCAAGAAGAACTTGAACAGAATATACAGTTTTCAGAATTTGTAGGCAGTTTGAAACAGTATCTTTGTCTGAATTTCGCCTTCATACTTGCCTAGTACTAGGTCTTGAACTTAATTAAGAAGTAAGGACATACAGAAATTTTAAAGCATGGAAATAAAATAGTAGTAAAGAAAATATAACCTTCGTTTAGCCTACGTTTAATTGGTTGCCTCAAATTTACCATTGTTTGCATCAGCTTGGCATGAGTTTAGGGATTATGTAAATTTTTTTTACGTCTAATTTTTTGTAGCGTGTGTAACGCCTAGTATTTTGTCACTTGAGACTGAATTAGAATGGAGCATCTCCAGAGGAGAACACAAAGGGAGAAATGCAGAGTTGTTGCTATCTGTATGAATTTGCATAATCTCCAGTTCATTGCATTGGAGAAGACTCTTAGCTTTTGCTCTTCTCCATGGTTTGCCCCTTTTAATCCTTCATTTTCTTAGTGCTGTCTAAATTACAGTGGCACCTCCTCCTCCCCCCAGAAAAAGTGAGGGAATTTTCCCTCACCTGTTGCAATAATGTAAAACCTACTTGGAGGACAACAGCCTCATTGGCTCCAAGGACCTTGTTAAGGCAATCACATTCTCTATGGGATTGGGTACAGTCCACTCTCTGCTATGCTACATCCTGGAGAGGCTAGATATGCAGCGTTTGATATTTAGTTTTGTGTTATTTAAAGTATAATCTACATGATTACGTATTAAAAAGTCCTGTCTGTAAATTGCCACTTTATGTTGTACTTTTCTGTGTGCCTGGAGTAGAAGACGGTTCTTCAGAAGAATACTGAAAGTAAAAGCTACACTTTCTGCCTTACAAAGATAACGGGGAAACACAGCACAAATTACAAACACAGTACTACTATGACTTTCAGTTTTGCATTTTTTTTAATGATACTATAAACTATTGTATGTCTCTGCAAAATGTTGTTTTCTCCAGTATCCTCAACTCTTAGGAGTGTTTTGTCTGTCCCTCTTTTTTTGTCCAAATAATTTTCTCATTTATGCCTCCACCATTATAAAACTAAATTCTGAGCCTTTGTGCTGCTGCAATAGTGGTGATGATTGGTAGGGGCTGGGAATAGATGAAAAAAGTGGAAGGAACTCATGATGAAGGTTTGCAAAGTGAAACAAACATTGCATGAGCTGAAGGTAGAAAGTCCTGGATACTGGCGTGCAGTAATAGGCATTCTGGATATATCTCTATTGTTAGGTGTCTCTCTGTTATTAGAGTGTGACTTTGGGGTGTCCATATAACAGGAGAAGTCATACGTTATAAGCAGGGTTTGACTTCAGTACTGGAGTTGGGTCTTGGGAGCACAGATCCTAATTTGGTCCATTCATCTTTGCTAGGACATGTTGATACCTCTTTTGAGTATGCACTGCTGACTGGATTCAGCTACTGACTTTACAGACTCATCATATGCAAGTGTCCAACATCAGTAAGATCATAGTTAAATTATCTTATTACAGTGTTTAACATTACAGTAATTTGTGTTTTAGATAAAAACAGAATTTATATCACATACATTTTGTGGAACACTTTCATTGGTAAAAGAGTTTTGAGTATGGTGTGTAACATACTGAGTCCTAAAAAGAAGTGCTTGGAGGCTTGTATTGGCCTGTGCTGGCAGCCTTGCCACTTTGCTGTATTTTCCTATTGTGTGCTCTGTTGCCTAAGAATAAATGAGGCTTTTGCCTCCTGGTGAAGTTGCTGTGAGTGAATGTATTAGTATACTTAATAGTATCAAATTTGAAAGATCAGTTCTATAATCTCTTTGTATGTTGTATAGTGTTTTAATCTTTGCTTATGTAAAATTAATTTTATATATAGCATGTATATACAAATTATTACATATAATAAAATTATTTAATAGGTGAGTCTCAGAGAGTGACTTAATTTGGTAGGAAAGATAGTTTGGTGGCTAATGCAGAACACTAGTAGTCACCACAGAGGTTTTTTGGGTCTTCACATGAAAGATACTTTTTATGTTGCTGTCAGAAATTGGGAACTTCCTATGGTAAGAGTGAAGCTCGGTGTGCAGGTGACTCGCCTCAAGCTTACCACAGTAGTTTTGCTGGATGTTACCACATGGGTAAAGAGTCAACAAGAGTGAGTGTGCTAGCTCCTGGATTCCCACAGCTCCGTCTGTCATATTCATGCAAACTTAATTTCTAGCGTTGACTTTTGCAACCCAACCAGGCAAATAGTCTGGACTTCCTGCTTCTGACCTGGTATTCTCTTCCCAATGCAGTAGTTTCCTAGACAATTATTTTAACTTTAGTTATATCAGTGATGTAGTTTACAGCACAGTCCCACAAATGGTTATACGTGTGCAAGTAAAAGGAAAGCAAATTGTGGTGTTGGGAAAGACTGGACTGTGACTTTAGTAGCACTGAGCAAATTTTTGTGTGTAGCTACATCCTTTGTCTCCAAACAGATGAATGCTGGAGATGATTTGGAAGACAGACCAGGTAACTATTACTCTTTACATGTTTTGTCATTAATTTCTTTCCTGGTCTCTACTAGGACAGGATGCTGCTTATGACCTGGCCCAGCACAGTTTTTCATTCGTTTTATCACGCAATCTGTGCAGTTTTGTCTTCCCTGTGCAGAAGATAGCTGATGCCCTAACTCCCAGACTACAGTGCTCAGTTAAAGTTTCAGTGTTTGAGTGCAGTTTGAGTTGAAGATAAAAATCTGCATGACAACTGAGTTTGTTCTGCAGAGAAAGCAGTTTAAATACATCTAGAAAGACACACAGCTTTTTGTTTGAAGTTTCAACAAAAGAACAAAATAAAGAAATTCAGACTTTCAGCTCATTGGGAATACAGAATTGTGTCTGAGGGGAAAAATGTTCCTATTAAAATGTAGATCTGTTAAAATAGTTGTTGTTTCACAGTGTACTATGATGGTGTAATTAGTTCTTTGGATTAGATTGAATGAGTGCTCTGTGGGGAGAAGGGTGTACGTACTTACAAATGTCCATCCTATGAGAATAACTTAAGGTGCTTTTTTGTATCCATGAAGCCAGAAGGACCTATTTTGACTACTAGCTCATCAAAATGTTGAAGTGGTTTGTGTGTTGCATACCTCTCTGTAATGCTGAATATCATTCTTCCCTAAATGTTTTCTTCTCTATATGTGGTGGAAAAGGCATAAATTTAAGGTGGTCAGGGGAACAAAGGCATGCGCTTTTTTTTTGTTTTACTTAGATATCTTGGACTTTCTTAGGTCAAAACCTTTTATTTAATTGATTTCTGGTATTACTTTATATATCACTCTGCATACTGATAACTTCTGAAGATCATCGAGAAAGGCTGTTTCTACTACATGTCACACTAATTGAGAAATCCTGTGGAAACATAAATGGCTACTCAGGATCATTTTAGACATGCGTTTACATTTTTTGACACCTCTTGTTCCTCAGTTTTTCCCAAGTTTCAAGCAAGCAAAATCCTCCTAGTGACAGCATTCCCTACCAAGAACAGTTCAAGCTTAAAGTTTAATACTTCGTTATAGCTTGTCTTCAACTTTGAAATGTATAGTAAGATAAACTTTAAAAATACGATGCAGGTTACAAGGGCACAGAAGCGATGTCAGTATGCACTAAAGGATGTTGACTTTTGACTGACATAGTGCTCTCAACAGTAAAAAGATTTGATCATTACGGTTTGCTTCTCTCTATTTAATGGGCTACTTATGGATCTGTGTTTGTTCTTCTTCTCAGATATTAGGATTAAAGAAGAGGAGCCTGATCCAGAAGAGTGGCAGCTCAGTGGTGATTCTACACTGAATACCAATGATCTAACACATTTGAGAGTACAGGTGGTAGACGAGGAAGGGGACCAACCGCATCAAGAGGGAAAAAGACTGCGACGAGTAGCTTGCACATGTCCCAACTGCAAAGAAGGTGGTGGAAGGTAGGTAACGTTCAGTGTTATATAATGCATGTAATGACGAAAACAAATAATGAGTGAGGAAAAAAGGAGCCTTAGTTAACAGCAGTTGTCTGCAGTGAGAGAAAACTAGAGACTTATGCAAAAGAGCTTCTGCAATAAAGGACTGTCACCTTTATTTCTGGGTTTGTAGATGGACAGGCAGATTATTCCATCTTCTGTGAGTTACTCCACTGGGTTTAATTGGAAAAATCTGGAGTTACATGCCACCTCGTACAAGTGAGGGGGATAGAACATTGCACTAAATAATATGAAAATGAAGTATTTTGGAATATGCACATCCGTGATTGGCTTCCTATCATATGTCAAGGGCTTGATTAAATCCTGTGTTCCCGCATTTCCTCACTGATTGAGCATTTTTTTCCGCAGTTTGATTGCTTTAGAGTGTTACAAAAATACAGTTATCCTGGTTTTCTTATTCACTGGTTTCCTAAGAAAATCAAGGTTTATATAATAACTCTAAATACCAAATTTTGAATTGGCTGATTGTTTTCAGTCCAAGTTAGTGGAGATTGGCTGATAATGAGGTACTAGGTTCCAATTCATAAAGAACTTCAGGGCTGCACAGAAAGCCATGTTTTATTATTCTATATCTCATGAAAGTATTCTTCAGCTTTTTGTTATTATAGATATTTTATTCTATTCCAAAACACTTCCTTTTAAACATCTCAATTATGGATATAAGCAAGGAAGTGGGAATAATAGGCTGCCTTTTATAAGTGAAAACATTTAGGTGTCTTTGTGCTTGGTATAATTGTGCAGGGGCTTCTTTCCAGTACACTGAAATTTGTCCATTTTGATATTTTTTTCTCTAAAATGGAAATCTTACTTGTGTGAGAACTATCGTGTAAATTACTGAGTTCTCTTTAAAGAACCTGTCAATGTCCTGTGGCTCTGAGAGTTCTAATAGTGCTGACTGTATATTTCTGTTGTCAATTCTCTTGTGGGTTTTTACTGTGTATTCTAGATACCTTCTTTGCAAGCACGGAGAGGTAATGTCTTAGGCAGCTATGGCAAGTAAATATTAAATGTTTAAGATGAAAACAATAGGTTTACATCACAAATGAAACTAATAATATATAGCATCTTTGTCCATCAGCTTCCTATTATTAAATTCCTATGTGTAGTTCACTGAAACCTGGCATAGACGTTCCTGGGTTCTTGGTGAACCTTGGCTCTGCCATGAATCACAGAATCACAGAAAGTTCGGGGTTGGAAGGGACCTCTGTGGGTCATCTAGTACAACCCCCCTGCCGAAGCAGGGCCACCTACAGCAGGCTGCACAGGACCTTGTCCAGGTGGGTCTTGAATATCTCCAGAGAAGGAGACTCCACAGCCTCCCTGGGCGGCCTGTTCCAGTGCTCCGTCACCCTCAGAGTGAAGAAGTTCTTTCTCATGTTCAGACGGAACTTCCTATGCTTCAGTTTGTGCCCATTGCCCCTTGTCCTGTCTCTGGGCACCACTGAAAAGAGCTTGGCCTCATCCTCCTGACACCCACCCTTGAGATATTTATAAGCATTTATAAGGTCCAGATGAAGATCTGCCCAAAGTACACCCTGGGTTGAGATTTGCTTCGGTCTGGGAGAAAACTCTGAAAATGTGCTTTGCACTGGCCGTACTCTTAGGAAACATAGGGATTTCACATGTACCATCTTCCTTGTGATCTATTCCAAACTAGAGTGGCTTTAATTTCAAGACATCTTTACTTTAATATCCTCTTACTCCTAAGTGGGTTTGCTATAACACCAAATTTTGAAGTCGAAGCCCAAGAAGATCTTTCCAAGAGATGGTTTTGATGAAGTCTGGAGAAGGGCGTAGTCTGACTGAAACTCAGATAGGGGAATTTGGGAAGGAGTTGAGATAAGAGCTAGAACAGAGTTTAGATAGGTGGGTATCTGAAATCTACTGTAAAGGAAGGACAGGACAAATGTACAAAGTAAGTAGGAAAAGTAGGACAGGAAGTCAGGAGGTGAGAAGAATTAGGACTGGAATAGAAACAGGATAATGAAGGAGACAATGGTGAGGAAATAGAAAAAGAGTGAAAGTGCCTACAGTTGCTAGAACAACTTTCCCACTGGAATGTAGAATTCCTTCAGAGTCTAGCAAAAAGAAATAAGCCCACTTGGAAGAATATTTTCCTTCCTCTGATACATGTAGATCATGTTTCATAGCTGCTATAGTTACTTGTTTAGTGCCGTAATTCTGAGTTTTGATTTGTGTTTAAACTTTGCTGATGAGTTGCAGAGTTTCAGATAATAGAACATTTGCTTTTATAAATTTTTTCAGATAGCATTCACAATTCTAAAAATGATGTTAAGGTTGCAAAATTGAAAACTCGGAAGTTGGCAAATGCTGGAGTTAAGATATCCTGGGTAACTTTAATCCCTTGTACATATGTATTATCACTTGTTTTTTAATTACATGATTGCGTACTATTTTTTTCATATGACCCCAGTGGCATTCAGTGGATGGGGTGGATGATGCACCAGGAGTGAGTCAGGGCTGTGTAATGATTGGCACCTGCTTCACTCATTGCAGAAAGTGGAAGGTGTTTAGGGAATGATACGAGACTGCAGCGACAGTGCTCTGAAGTTTTGGAGGTGTTTGTCTATCCACCCCACCTTCTCCACTGCAGAAGTACTGAGTGCATTCCTGTAAAGAAGTCGATTGAGCTGAATTGTGAACATCTACAGTACTCTAAGAAAATATGCTTCTGCTATACTGAACTTGACACCTCAGACTGGTGGGTGTTTGACAGTTTTGGCCTTAATCTGTTTCTACCTCATATTTGGATGTATGAAATGATTGTACTAGTTCAAGTTCGCTACACAGGAGTGTTGCAAGATGATCAGTTCATTAATGTTTGTGAATTGCTTAGGCACTGTGAGTGTTTGAAGTGCCCATGATGAAGAAAAAAAAGCCCTGGGGAAATGAATAATTCTGTATTTAAGATAGTAGTTAAAAAATACACAACTAGTAAGACAATAAAAGCACATTAAATCAGTATGAAAAAGGTGAATAGCATTTCACTCAATGAATACTATCCCTCCTATGCACTGAATGGGGTAGGAAAAGGTAGTATGTGGCTTCACATATGCAGACTTCATCATAATTTCGTCTGTTGTGTAGTCTTAGTTTTGGCATTTCTTGTATTTTCTGTTTTCTGGATGCAAAGGGGGATTGAGGGGTTCTTTCTATGTTTTGTTCTTGGCTTTTGTTGTGTTTTTTTTGACTCTTGCTACAGAACTAGACTACGTTGCAGTCTTCAAAGGATTTCTATTTGTACCAGTCCCATGAAGTAGGGAGCCACTATTATCTTTACCTGACTTGGCGGGGGGAAGGTAGGAAGGGAAGAGGATCATGTATGAGATGTGTAAATTAAAACCTTATAGCCTCAAGCTTATGTAGTAAATGGGGGGATAAGCAAGTGGAGAGAGAGAGAGAGAGAGATGTAACTCAAAGGATGACTGATCGCAAACAGACTGTAGTAGGATTCTAGTTAGGGTGTCTGAAGTTAGGTGAAAAGTTCACCCTCCTCTCAGTTACATCTGGAATTACACTGAGATGTAACCACTACTGTCTGGATCTATAGACGAACTGTGCTTCTAAGTACCACTTCAGGTACGTGACTCTAAAATACCCATTCTTAAAATAACTAATAAGTGTATGTTTTACCCTTGAAATACTTGATGTTTCTCCTGGAAGTAATGCTGGACTGGAAGGCCAGTTTCTCAGTGGATGAAGGCGTCTCCTGCTCAAACTGTTGCATTCTGCATGGTTACTGAGAAACATAGTTTCCAATATTAATAAAGCTAACATGTACTATGAAAATTCTGAAATATTAATTGACTTGAAGACTTCAGTTGAGGAGCAGTCCTGAGTCAGATCCTTTTACTCAGTGATGATGCTTATTGGCCAGTGCAGCAAGAAAGGCCTCTTAGCATGACGTGTAAGGGCATAGTGCCAGACTGTCACAGCTGCAGAGTGTCCAGATAGAATCTGGCTCATATCCAGTCAGTTCAGAGCACACATGAAGCAAACATGCGGATGCCTGTATGAAGCTGTGTGGAATAAATACACTTAGTTACTCATTCGCAGTAGTCTTGCTGATTTCATTCTGTGAATCCCTAACGTCCCCCTCACTTTGAACTTCAGAGTCACGCTAAGGAATTCTGTTGTCAGTTAGGTGAGGTGCTTAGAATTACGTATGCTGCACCACCTACGCATAGTAAGCTGACCATGAGTTGGACCTTGGTTTCCTTCGGTCTAGACTAAAAGTGCAATTAAGCAACTTCAACTGATTGACTTAGGAATCTTAAAATTATTCCAAGACGTGATTTCATGTCATTTATGTCACATTTATGTACTGTATCATGCAAAGTTACAAAAGATTTGTACTGATTATTGTGGAGGGGAAGACTGCGGTATATTTGGAGAAGGTGTGAGGATGAAATACCAAATACAAAAAAATATTCTGTGTGCAGAAATATATTCTCGAATGCAGAAATACATTTTGTTATAATAAGCACAGGTTGAGCACTTCTTAGGGTTACATGAAGTTGGACAGACAATTAAAGACACAGGGTAGCAGCATTTCTTTCAGTTACCAAGGCTGTTAAATTGAGAAGAGCCATGGGTATTCCTTTGCTTTGCACCACAGTTGCTGGATGCATTGAGCCACCAAATGAGGACCTGAAGACGACCTGTCTAGAACTCAGTGATTAGATGAAGATGAACGTAGAGCCTGAGAACTGTGGAACTTGTTGCAGTAAGGCAAAAGGAGCAATACAGAAAATTTCTTCCTTGGAATCTGGGGAGCTGGGTGTCTTGGGCTGATAGATGAATGCCACTGGAACTGTTACAGGTAGAGCGAGTTTTGTGTGGTGTCCTATCCGTCTGCAGAGGCTGAGAAACTAGAAAAGAAAGCAGGCAATCTAAAGACATTTTGCTAAATGGCTAGAGATTGGCTGAATGTTCAAAACTTGTGAATATTGAGCTTTTGTGTAGGTGGCATAGGACAAAAGGTAAATGCCTGACATTACAGTTAATTTTGCTTTTTAGTCTTGGCTTGAGGGAAGGCCATGGAAGAATGTGAACCCGACAGTTTAGATGTAGCAAAGGTTAGCAAAAATTGATGTTTTGGCTGAGGTAGGAGATGTAAAAAAGGCAGTGTTTGTCCTGGTCCAAAGAAGTGATCTTCTTTTGGGACATTTGAAAAAGGAAAATTAAGTCAAAAATATTCTTGCCAAGACTAATAATGATGGAAGAGCTGACGATGTCAGGTCAGATGCCAGAGAATTTTTTTACATGAAATTTATAAACAAGCTGGATAAGAGAAGCGGGTGAACTTTCTGTGAGGCTAAGGATTGAGAGGTTGCAATAAACACCCCAAAAATTAGATAGATAAGCAGAATCTCTTCTGTTACTATACCCATAGGCTCATATGAGTCTACTGCTACCACAGCAGGGTCAAAAGCCTTCTGGACTTTTTACTTCTGCTGCTGTTGAATTTGTTCTGAAGTCAAAACATACATTGTCATGACGAGTAACTAGTATGTAAAAGGGATAGTTTTTTCTTCTGAGACAAAGTGACTAATGAAGCTGTATGAAGATTGCTCTGTATCGAGACTTCTTAGAAACATTTCCTAGGACTTAATTGGGCTTTATCTTCTTACTTTTCTGGACTGTCTGGAGTGTTTTAGGGACGTATGTGCTTAGGTTGGAATTCCCATTAGATGCTTTGAGTTTTTAGAGTGAGTTAATTCTGTGCCTCTTCAGAAATGCTTGCTCCAAGTGCTAGCTCCTTAAAGTGTGTATGCATTTTACCCTGAACCCTCATTAGATGTAAAACAGAGTTGTTCTGAATGCAGGGATGAGAGTCTGTATCTAATAGTTGCTTGGCAAATCCTTAAATCCTTCAGCCACTGAACTTCTAAGCAGAAGTTCAGCACCCCAATTTAAGGAAGAAAATTGCCCTGGGGAGGTAACTGAAAATTGTATAATCAGTCATGGAGGATGGAGTGCCCAAGATTGTGATTTCAGAATCCACTTAAGCTGTTCTAAGTTAATGTTGCTGATTAATAAGGTGGCCTGATGTTTGGCTGCCTTTCCCAGTCTCCTCCCTTGTACCAGCATTTACCATTCATATAGTTGTGTTGTCAGCCAGATCTATCCCCTGGAGTGCCCCTTTCAGCAGCAGCAAACACTTAAATTGGCTAAAATCAATCATAATGCCCTGCACTGACCAGACTGATCTCTTTTCTCTGGGTCGTCAGAGGCTCTTATCTCTCTCTGGTAGTTTTATTTAAAAAAAAAAAAAAAAAAAGGGTTAGCCTGTCGTGGTTAGGTGCTTCCCCTGAATCAATCACCTACCATTTCAGGGAGGCAGTATGTTAAAGAAGGCATCAAGTTTAGTAATCTGGATTATACTGTGTGTGAAGTATATGTTCATTTTGATTTATTTTTTTTTCTGAAATAATAAAGGAATTAATTTATATGTTAGCAAGATCAGCTGTTTCACTGCCATTCATTTTAGTGGGAATATTCAGGTTAGTATGCTTGTCCTCCAACCCCAAACTGCTTCTCAGGTTTCCCCAAGATGCCAAAAGTCCCATCTGTTCTCTTCCCAGTTGCCAAAATCTCCAGTTTCTGTTTTGGCAATTGCAGTAATTTGTGTTTTTCTTTGCCAAAACTGTCTTTGGTTTGGTAAAAACTGAAACTGGGAGAAATTTACAATATGGGCTCTTCAACATCAAAGTAGTGCAAACTGCTGTAATGACTGTATTTCCAACTTCATGTATATGTATGCTTGCTAAAGATTACAGTCCTGTCGTTTAAATTTCATGTGCAGTTGAATTGATAGTTTGTTGCAGAATCAGGATAGCATTATAGAATTTAGTTCCAGGTTCTTATGGAGTGTACTGGGCTCTGATTGTATTTGAAACAAAAATGGGAAGCTGCTAAGATTTGTTTGGAAAT